TAAAACAGCACCATGACTAGTTACCTTAGTGCCAGTAAAACACGGTACAGCACTGTCACCTGAATGTAGGTGTTTATGGTTAGAACGTATCGCCAAGATTTTTTTTCCTCCCAAGTCCTGACCCTACTTGCACAGCCTTCATTTGCAAATGTAACTTCTTGTCTTGCAGACTTGCCAAGAGACAAAGGATCTCAGTGCTCTAACAAAAGCAGCTGATTTTGTGAAAGCATTTATCCTTGGGTTTCAAGTAGAGGTGAGTCTCCCAACTCCCAGGTTGTGAGAGTGCTTCATTGGCTTCCCTGAAAATTACAGGAAGAAATAACAATCCTCAGGTGGTTTTCTAGACATAAATGTTTGAAACTGTGACTAGAGTGGAAGTCTTAATTTCTTAAGCTAATGCAGAGTAAGAAAGTAACCTTCAAACATCACTTAATTAAAATTACAAAGTTGGAGGACATATTTAGCTGTGTGCAAGAGGCAAGCATGAAGCAGTAATCTGGCCCTGACGTGCTCTGCATGTAAAGGGACTCTCCATTTTGCTGCCCATAACCTTTGCTCTGTTAAAAACTCAAACAAAACCACTCTTCGCAGTATTATATGAGCTGCTCCTTGCTGCAGACCTGTGCTGGCTGTTGTTTGATACATTAAGTGGAGAAACACTACTGATGCTGTCCTTTTATATAAAGGAAATGTGAGCTTTCAGCTCCGTTGTGGTACTGCAACGCTCATGCTGATAACAGATCTCTTTATTTTAGGATGCTCTTGCTCTTGTCAGATTAGATGATCTTTTTCTAGAGTCGTTTGAAGTTACAGATGGTAAGTAGTTTGTGCTGTGGTGTTCAGGTAGCTGTGGGTACCATCTGCAAGTACATTGTTTTTGTTCCTTTCCCCCTGCTCCAGTTATGTCACTTACCCTCAGGGTTAAGGAAAAACTTCATTACACAGTTACTGTCTGGGTACAGGTGGCTTGAAAGGGTTGTAATTTTTCTAAGATGTCTTAACAAAGCCCCTCAAACCTCCATCCTTGAAAGTACATCACTTTATCAGAGAGATTTGATTTTTCTTGTCACAGGGTAAACGTTTTAAAGGTGAAAGGGAGAATTTTGGTGAATGCATCCATTAGATTTTTAAACTAGAATGGGCTTTGCTACTCTCAGAATCCTGACAGCAGCTGGTAGGAAGTAGACAGCAGAAACATCTATTAATTCATGTATTTGTGGGATTCCTTGGAGCATCTGAAGCTGATCTATTTTATTTCTAATGGTGCCAGCTGAGTGCACTTTGGCTATTTTTTTCCTCAATAGTAATTGCTCAGTAACACAGGGAATGCCTTCTGCAGCAGTTCTGTATCAGAATTTCTCTCTGATGCCAGAGACCTCATGGTTACACTTAGCAGCAGATGCAATTTTCAGTTCTAGTAACGTTAGTGACTATAGATATTTATATATTGCACTTGAAATTGCTTTTGTGCTGCTTACACCAAGTTGCTTCCAGCAAGGCAAGCATTATAGAAATACACACCACTGCTGTTACACTGAGCATGTTATTCTTGTTTTAGTCAAACCTTTGAAAGGCGATCATCTGTCAAGAGCAATAGGGAGAATAGCAGGGAAAGGTGGAAAAACAAAATTCACTATAGAAAACGTAACCAGGACACGAATCGTTCTCGCTGACGCGTAAGTATTGACTGACTTCCTCCTGGGCAGAGCACAATCCCCCAACTAACCCATGTCCTTTTCCAGGAACAAAGATAACCTAGATTTTATGCAACTGCTGTAGAGCAGTGGGAAGACAAATCATTTAAGTGTTATTTTTAACAAATGCTATTTGAGTATTTGACCTTTTGGTCTGAGAATGATGGGTGTTACCAGTACACATAGAATTGAGTAATGCCCCAAAGCACAACTTCTTACAAGTAATCCAAGTTGAACCCACTGACCCTAGAACCTTTTCCTCCTAAAGCTGCTACTGCTAAACTTTCAAATTGTAAAAATCTATTTTAAAAAGGATTTAGAACAGCACAGGGTTTATACTGCAGGTTTTCTGGTTTTGAGGTTGTTTCTATTTACAAGTGTAGAAAAGGCACTAGTACACTAATCTGAAATTCCAGCTTTATTAACTATGTAGTAACAGAAGGTTTTTTTCCCCTCATTAACTGCTGCTACTTTGGTTTTTACAGAAAAATTCACATTTTGGGATCTTTTCAGAACATTAAAATGGCACGAACAGCAATTTGCAATCTAATTTTAGGTGAGTCCTGTTATCTAATCTTCTCCTTTGCATACAGATATATCTTGCTGTTTGAGAAACTGCTTTCTGTGCTGTGTTAACTTTCTCCCCTGGTGGCCCATAGCTGCATTTGGAGCAGGTAGCTTGCTAGGAGTTGTCTTGTTTGGGTAAGAATCAGGGAGCCCAGCACTTTGATTCTGTTGTCTCCAAAGCCCTGTCTGGGGTGTGGGAGGAAGAGACTTTCTGCTCTTTGATTCAGCCTGTAGCATTCCCTGCAGGCTATTTGGAATGCACTGTCTAGAAGATGCCAAAGGGGACAACCCAACCCACACTGGCACCAGTAGTTTAACTCTGCGCTTGCAACCATAGGCTGCAAGGTGGTGGCTAACCTTGACCATCCTTCTCAGCTGTGGGCTTATCACAGACGTGACAGCAAAACATTTATTTCTGTAACACACGCACATTATCTTGTTTATTGACTGAGTTCGTGCTTTCTTCTGCAGGAAGTCCTCCATCAAAAGTTTATGGCAATATTAGGGCAGTGGCCAGCAGAGCAACTGAAAGGTTCTGAGCTGCAGCACAGGTGCACCACCAAGGACCAGGGCTGAGAGTTGCGTTTTCTGTACACACAAGAGGCCTGGAGCTACAGAAGCATTCAGTCTTCTCCTTGATTTGGAAGCCCAGAAGAAAACTGGGACTGTTCCTGCAGTCTGATTTCCTTCAGACATGCTGCCCTATTTCAACACACCTGATATTTCTGTATAGTCATTAAAAGTCATTTTAAAGTGGTTGTGTCTATCAGAAGTACGAATACCTGATTTTACTTATCCTCAAACAAAACCATGCTTCATTACTGACTCTGAATATCAAAGTATCAAGAAACTGCTGTCAGAACTTCAGAAAGCCTTTAACGTTTTGAGCCTAAAGGGAATCAGCATAGTTGAGTGTTTATAACCACACATCAGTTCATTATCCTCCTGGAAAGAGGAGTCAACTGGAACACAAAGTTCAAAAGCAAGCTACCCACCGAATCGCTGCTACTTATGGAAGAGCACATGAAAACGGTAAGATGAGAGAGGTAAATACCGTATCTACACCTAATCCTAGAATCTGCACCTATAGATTTTTTATTTTTTTTTTAATTCTCTTGAAAATGGTCTGTATAAGGCAGCCTTGTGAAGCCAAGAGCCATTGGTTAGGTACAAGAACCTGCCAGTGCACCAGAGGAAAAGAACTGGCAAGTGCCGAGTATCTGCCTTCTTAAAATGCTATGTGCATGAAACAGAGTAGAGAGACAAGAGACCTGTCACGTCCCCATTTAATTTAAACAAGCCAGACTTGTTCCAAAGTCTCTTGCTGGTTAGCACATTTTCAGTTCAGGCTTTTGAATGAAAAAGCTTACTTGAGATTACCAAAAACATTAGGAAATCGAGCAAACATTTCTCTTGGTGTTCAAGTTTCCAGTGCAGCACTTCATTAGGAAGAATTTTTTCACTAGGAGGGTGCTGAGGCACTGGCACAGGTGGCCCAGAGGAGCTGTGGCTGCCCCATCCCTGGCAGTGGTCAAGGCCTGGCTGGACAGGGCTTTGAGCAACCTGGTCTAGTGGAAGGTGTCCCTGACCGTGGCACAAAGGTTCAAACTAGACAGTATTTAAGGTCACTTCAACCCAAAGCATTCTATTGATTATAGCCAGATTCATTCAAGTCTTCAGTTGCTACAAGGTTTAAGACTTGCCATGTTACTTAAATGTACAGCTCCTGGCAGTATGAGCTACACAGGGGAGATCGTGTCCATTGAGCAGCTGAAGGTAGAAGAGCACTACCTGGTTAGCACATTTTGTTTGTTCATTAGCTGCTTATGTCCTTTCATCTCAATTAGCTCAAAAGATAAGAAGGGAGAGTGAGGGAAGGACATACAAAAGTAACCTGATCTTCACCCTAAAGCAGCTGCATGCTCATACCAAAAGCAGCAGAAAGGAAGAGAGAAACGCAGAGGAGGGCCCAGATAACTGCATTACAAAGAGCAATAGCAAACGGCTTCCGTAAGGGATGTACCTACTACAGCGAGGATTAATTCCACCAGCAGAGGTCTCACACCTTCCCTTGAGAAAGGAGCTGCCTTTAATTCTCCACCTACATTCAAGGTTAGGGCTTTGTTTTTTAAACCACTTTCCACTTAGCCCAACCATTCTGAATTTAGCAGGATTCAAACCAAGGTATTTTATCTAATTTGGACATTTAGCAAAAAGAACCAGATGTGCCTTTAGTAAAAACACACACATAAGTGGTCCTGAAACACTGAAATAAAGCCCGGAATTATTCAGGAGGCTGTTTTCCAGTAAACCTTTATAACTGAAGAGGGAACAAACAACTACAAACAGCAGTTTTGTTTTCTTTAGAGCAGGCTGCAGCGCTGCTTCAAGTTGAACAGGGAAGATCCAGGTAAATACTGAAGCAGCTCAGCCAAGGTTCAAATATTTTATTTTGTATTCATGTAGTATGAAGGTTCTTATAGTTCCCACAACGTATGATGGAGCATGCAGAGGAAAAACTAAACATTCAACATAAATCAGTTTTCCCCACACAAACTGAAAAAAAAAAAATAATCCAAAAATAAAAACCCCAAAGAAGAAAAAAACAGAACAAAAAAAAATTTGAAAAAAAAAACCAAAACAAAACCCAACCAACCTCATCCCTCCCCTTCCAACCCCCCTAAGGAAATAACATAAGCACTAATTTCTAGAATGCCAGCCAAGATATGCACAAGCAAGTAAGAGAAATCAAAAGCATTTGCTAAATGTTTGTAACAAATACTTATGTACAAAAAATTCACAAAAGACTAGTTCCCCCTCGAAGCAGAGCACATGGCAGTTGACACTGGAACAGATACAACCACTGGCTGGGATTATAAACCACGTACTGATCCAGAGGAAGAAAAGTTACATGTAGTGGAGATTTTTGTTTTGAACATTAACATTTACCAAAGTTTGGCAACATTTACCTTTTAAATTATGCAAATTATGTAAACAAGAGGAACATTTCAAATCGATCTACATGCAAAACTTTATGTCATGCAAGGACACCAAGCACCTGGATTTCTCTCTCACAGACAGAGCCCATGATGTGCAGCACTCAGTTGAAGGAACAGCTATGGCAGATAGGTGCTCGACTGAAGTAGGTTCAGACAACCTGCACTTCCCACTGCTGATTATAAAACAATTTTTTTTCTCTTTAATAGAAAAACTACTATACAGGAAAGATGAACTGTCCTAAAAAAATCTAGCAAATGTTTTTCTTCCAGCCAATAGTACCACTGCAGAAAAGGGAAGGGATGATATAAAGTTGTAAAACATGGCTCACTACTTTTATATCACACAAATATATCAAGTTACCATCCGTTACAAATCATGATATGGACAAATCTAGAAAAGAAAATAATTCCCCAGGCAAAGGACTGGAGAACCACAAGAGGTATAAATTTAGATAGTGTGAAGTTTTCCTCCTCTATGGCATAGGTTAACAAGATTTTCCCCCTGTATGAATCCTATATACATATATATATATATAAAATATTACCAGTTATTTATGCTACCTGTAGTATTCTTTAAACGCAGAGGGGAAACTATCATGGTTGAAAAACAGAATTTAAATGGCAAGAACATTTTCTAATGTAAGTGCTGTAGAAAATAAGTAGATGGGAATCCTGCAGAGTTACATCAATCCTAATTTCATTAAGCTAAGCACAAGAAAAAAATCATGGATGTGTCTAACACCTTGAGCAGCTGTTATCTAAAATGAATCCAGAACAGCAGATCTGCCTTTGCTTCAGGGCAGCTGTAACTGCTCCCAATTCCTAGATGACGAAATCTAGCGGCCATCAAAGCATTCCACAGTTACTATATGCACGAGGGCTAGTTCTTGGCAGTAGCATTAAACTATATTCTCATATTAAGTAGAACTGTACTAAGTTATTTAGCAAAGAGACACAGTCCCTGGTAATATATTAACAGGTATAAATAAACTTAGTCTCCTGTGTTACAAAAAATGTAATTAAGGTGAATTAATAAGAAGCAATGCTTTGTCAGCCAGTCAATATATAGAAACATCTGAACAGTCACAGGAAAAGGAAAAGAGCTGACCTAACACCCAGTTAAAATTTTACATTCTTCTACTATATATATAAAACTGTGTGAAATAAAAGTAAGGATGTATATCCATATATTGAACTGTTAATATTCTGCTTGGCACTTTGTACTCTAGTTTTGTTTCTGAATCAAGTATATTAAATTAAAGCCCACCTAGCTACTACATATAGAAAGCTACATATATATCTATATATAAATACACACACACATATATATATATAGATAGATATTTCCTTGTTATAAAAGATGAAGAAAAATAAATTAAAAAGCCAACCCCTTCCCTTTCTCCACCACACTGATATGCTCTTTCCATCTTTGCTGTCCTTCAGACTTTAAAGTGCTACACTGAGTTATTGAGAGAATAAAAGTTCAATAACACTTAGTTGGCTTCATGAGGCTCATGTTGGAAAATGTGGCTTCACAGAGAAAATACTTCCATTTAAATACACAGAGAGCATTGCTGGACGTCTTGAGCAGATCTTCAGAGATGGAGAAGAAAGCAAAAGTGTTGGGTGGTGCCCTACAGAGTCACACATCTACCACCATCTTTTTGTGGATATCTAGGCCTCCTACAACCTGGGAGAAGAAAAGTTGTTTGTAAGTAGGTGAGAACTGAAAAATCAGCAACACACAAAGAACACACTTTATTCAGAAGATGCACTCAGGGTGATCATAATTACAGTACTTCCCTGGCCTCCCCAAAATAATTTGCATCTCAAGCACTGCGAGATACATGAATAAATTATGTATGAACCAAAGTAGTTGTATTAGTACGATCTACACACTCAGGGGGCTGAAAAACAGTCTAAATTACACCATTTTGGCTTTTCCCCTCCAACTCATTCTGACTTCGTATTACGTTTCTGTATGTTAAATGAAACGCTGACTTGACTTCTGAAACATCCTGTAAAACTGTGCCTCTGCACAGGGCCTTAGGAAAGGCAGCAAGATTGCTGACAAAACTGCACGCACCCAAAAAGGAATTACCAGTGTTCAAAGGCACATGATTCATGCACAGAGAAAGGAAAGGAAAAGGTGCGAGGTCAGAGGAGCTCTTGTAATGGAGACAAATTTCAAAGGCCAAATAATATTGCCAGATGTGACAAACATAAATATTTTTGTAGCTAGATGGCACAAAATTCAAGAAGCTAAACTGCAAGAACAAGAGATCATAGGAATGAAAGGCGTCTTGTCAGGAGGTCAACAAAAACTGAAGAAACTAAAATCCCAATAAGCTAGGAAAATCAAGCCGTAGTACAAGACAAGGAGTCTGGGCAGAAGCTGGAGGACAAAAGAAAAGGCTATGTTATATCTGATGGACGGTTAGAAGACAACAGGGCAAGAAACAGGTATTTCACTAATGCAGGCATTTGCAGGCTGCAAGTCTTTGAGTTCTTTGCAAATGTCCAGGTTTTCACATGATGTCACAAAAATAACTACTAAAAAAACCATGCAGACAACAGAGCCTTTTTATTTTAATAGTCTGTAGAAAGGGCAGGATTTTTCCTTTAAGCTTGCACTGATCATGAAAGTATGAACGAGTTATGTTTGAACTGAAGTAAATTTGAAGAGTAGGAAACAAGCAGTGCTTGAGTGCCTGTTGACTCAGTGCTAACCCAGGTGTACGTTCATTGATACACCATTTAAAATTAACATGAAAACATTCATTATTGCCATTTTCAAGTGTTCAAGTTTTAGTGTGTTTCGATTTAAATTTAAAACTTGTTGTCAACTAATTAAACAACCATACAACACGGGTGAGACTCAACCAGTTCAAGCCTCAAGTGCTACTTACATTCAAGCACTCTGCTCAGTAAAACCCAAAGTTTTTAAAACGTGCCTTTCAACTGTTTGTCCCTTTCAAGAGCAGCACTTGAGCTGTTACCCTGCTTGTAACTGACCCAAATCCTGCTACCCTGGCCCTTGTAAAACCCCTGTGTTCTGCAGATGGTGATAATCTCCCCAGACCTCTCCACACTGTGCAGAGATAAACCTTTCTGAAGGGTGATTTGGAGCAGACACTCAGTTTAGAGACTGGGGGATTAACCTACAGGTTAACCTCTGTGGAATACACTTCTCCCCTCCCACAGCACCCCTGACAGGACACTTTTTGAACGAGACGTGCTGTGCTCATGGTTTTAGCACTCTGGTTTTACAGTTTTCAGATGGTTTGACGCACTTCACCTCTACCCTCAGGAACAGGACATGCTGCCCACAGTGCTCTGGATTTTTTTTTTACCCCATGTATTCCATTACACAGCCACAGCCATTTAAAACAACCAAAAGTGCCGTTTCTTTTTCAATCAAGTAACTGTTGAAAACAAGGAAAACCAGCTTCCTACGTCAAGCCAGTCACATCTTTAGAGAGACTAGAATCTAATATGTCTTCATGTCAGGCATTTTTGTCTATATACAAAAATAGTTTAGGATTGGTCTTGTGTTTAGAATGGTATAAAATGACACAGAAATTACCCTGTAAAACTTCCTCTGCTCTGAGTGATCTCTTCAGGCATGCTGGATTCAAGGGGAAAGTCTGCATCCTGAAGAAACCTATTCTTGACTGGCTCATCCACCCTAAAGACACTGTTCTATTGGAAGCCGTAAGACAAAAATGCCACCTATAATAAAGCTGTGTCAAAGAGTGACTATTGCCAAATCACTCTGCTTTTATAATCTTACCCTTTATACTATTTACCATTTTTCCTCCTTTTAGAATTAAAGGCTATCGAAGTTTTCTTTAGAGGTTACTTACAGCACAGAATTCTTCAAAGGATATTCTTCCATCACCATCCTTATCTGCATTAATTATGGTTTTATCTACAATTTGCTGTAACTGAGTGTCTTTGAGATTGTTCCCAACCATCATCTTCAGCACCTGGAAGAGCTCTCCATTTGAGATATACCCATCTTTGTCCATATCATAAATGCGAAAAGCAACTGCAGAAGACAGATGTATGTAAAACTTTAAGTAACAAACGTGGTCAGAAAAGAGCAATATACATTCATGTGCTTTGCACTAAGCAATGACACAATCCTGCACAAACTGAGAAAAATCCTATGTTTTAAGTGAGATTTCTGACAGCCTTGGAACCATCAGAAACAATATAATGAATGCTACTACGGAATTTAAACGAAAAACCTCACTCGAGAGTTGTCAGCTGAAATAGTTCTAGCATCAGCAGTAAAATAACTTTATAAACACTGAACTGGAAAATCTTTACCACCACAAGGTAAAGCACCCACGTAGCAGCTCATTTACAAGCACAAAAAGTAACAGCCTTCCAGGAAATAGATTAATCAAAATCCCACCTGGTTGTTTTGCTGCAAATCTGGCATTAACACTGAATTTATTACTTATTGGAAACTACATCCATGCATGAACCCATCCCTTCTACACTCCGAAGGCTTGGGTCACGTTGTGTTCCTCAGACACAGTTCTCAAAACAAGAACTTGGTGCTGTTCTATGACAGCAGCAAAAAAATCTGCTTTACAGGAGCGTAAGACTAACATCAAAGCACATTATTACACAGTTCTGTGAAGTAAAAAAGAATGGGAAGCAACTGAAGATATTCAGAAGGCAGCCTCAAACCTTCCCCGCAGAACACTGGCGAATTCTTCTACAGCTGTGTGCAAAACACGTACAATCTACCTTCATGATTTCCCACTGGATTTGCCGGTTTCTCAATGTTGACCAACAGAAGCATATTTTGGAGAACTAAGAAAATTTTGTTTAGGAAAATTCAAAATACTTACACCTCAACTTCTGTTCCTTATCTCCTTTGACACTGAACTGGGAGACTCCCTCTATAAATTCTAGAGTACAAGAAAAACATTTACAAAAAGTGTATTTTTTTTAATAAACCAAAGACATAAACATTCAGAACTTTTTAGAAACTGTAAGAAGGATCTAAATTACCCTAAAATCTTTAAAGTTTTGTGACATTTAAGTGTCCATACTTTGATACTTACGTGTTCTTTAGTAGGAAGTACTCCAAATCCAACACTGTGCTCACTGACCAGATTTGTTCACACCAGTATTTAAATAATTTTGTTGCCAGACTTTCGTAAGAATCTGACCTAAAACTCTTAAGATCTCTACTAAAGCTACTCAAACGGGGATTCTAATTTTACAGCTCAAGATTATTTTCTCAAATTAAAGCAAGAATTAGACTAAAAATTAAAACTGTTCTAAAACAACTTAAAAAAAAATCTATTTTGCTATTGAAAAATAGGAAAAAAAGGAAAATTAACACTGTACAACAATGATGCCATTCCAGGAGCAAACCCCTGAGTTGCCAAGAAAATAAAACCCTGGGATGTGCTGTGTCTGGTTAAGATCCTGTAAGTAGACTTCTTGGGAGTTTTGGGTAGTAAAGGTAACAACAGAGCAAAACCAGAAGCTAAACTGTGGTCAGAAAGAATACAGAGGTGCAGCAATACAGCATTAGGTTGAAAGGCCTACTCCAGTTTGAACAAGTTTTGTGACATTTAATCAACAATCCAGGTATGATTTATCAATAAAATGCTGACTGGACTATTTTAGCATTATGCTTTAAGATTAACCTAAAACAAATAAAATGTTTAGGTCTTTCAACAAGCAAAATGTAATTTTGCTTTTCTTGAATTATACAATTGTTTGGCTTGGAAAGGACCCTTAAAGCTCATCCAGTTCCAAACCCCTGCCACGGGCAGGGATACCTCCCGCTAGACCAGGTTGCTCAAAGCCTCATGCTGCCTGGCTCTGAACACTGCCAGGGATGGGGCAGCCACAGCTTCTCTGGGCAACCTGTGCCAGTGTCTCACCACCCTCACAGTAAAGAATTTCTTCCTTACATCTAACCTAAATCTCCCCTATTCCACTTTACTGTCTTTTTCCTCCAAGCTTCCATCTGACAGAAATAAATAAATTAAATGAACCAAACTTGGCCAGATGACAACAGCAGCATTCACTGCCACTTACTGCAACAGCATCATTTCACCATGGAAAATTGTTTCTGACAACTTCCTGTTCCCACCCAAGAGGGACAGCTCTCAATAATTATATTAATCACAGCTCAATGTCACATACAATATAGCATCATCTTTTATCACTGCTTATTTTTCACAAGGGGATTTTGAACAATTATATACAACAATTACTGCTTTGGAAGCGGATACCAAGACAAAGTCTCAGAACTTCAATATTCTAGTTACACTGTAGTTCTCTCTACAGAAATTTAACTGGTTTTGTAAAGGTTAGTAGCTTTTATATTTTAACATTTTATTTAAAATGTCAGCCTGTAATAGACGTGAGATTGAAGAGCTTTCTACACTTAAAAACTGGTTAACCTTTTCTAGTCATAGAATCATAAAATAATTAGGGTTGGAAAGGACCTTAAGATCACCTAGTTACAACTTCCTTGGGCAGCCCATTCCAGTGCCTCACCACCCTCACAGTAAAGAACTTCTTCCTTATATCCAATCTAAACTTCCCCTGTTTAAGTTTTAACCCATTACCCCTTGTGCTGTCACTACATTCCCTAATGAAGAGTCCCTCCCCAGCATGTTTATAGGCCCCCTTCAGATACTGAGATCTCCACGCAGCCTCCTCTTCTCCAGGCTGAACAGCCACAACTTTCTCAGCCTGTCTTCCTATGTCATGGGCAACAAGAGATACTATTACCTTGAACAGAAGTTACAAACATCATCACTTCTAAGGGTCAGAGGCTGTTTTAACACCAACCAACAGTGAAGACTTTTAATCTGCTGGCCCGTCTAATCGCAAGTATTTAAGATAAGTCTAAATTTTGGAAGAACATACTAAATCAAAACTTGCAGTTTTCACTTGAAGGGCCTACCTAAAATAATCCTGTACAGGAAGTGTCAACAGAAAAATCTGGACCACTTCCTCAATTTTGAAAGCTTTTTCAAAATACTCCCAAGAAAAGACAGATCGAACATTTGGGTAAGTACAGCTTCTGGACAGACACACCACTCACAGTCTACCCACTTTTTCAGTCTCTTCAGCGTAAGAATATACTTCAGATTAGCACCACAATGAAGAGTCTGAATTACTGCACTTCAAGGGATACTTCATGAGCAGTCCTAACCGAGTATACCCTGGAAAGCTACGACTAAACAATACGCTTTTTTAAGCATTTTGCTCAGGAGCGCTCTAATGTGCCAGAGAAACTAGTTGTACTGGAATTCAGTTCCACAAGCAATTAGGACCTTATTTTGATTAACAAGTTTTTTTCCTCCCCTCTCCTCTCACCAGAATCAAGATTTGAATTCTTAAGCTCCAGAAATTCCATTTATTAGAAATCCTGATAAACAGACACAAAGCACCATGTCTTACCTTTGAAGTCCACTTCTCCATTTCCATCTGTGTCAAATATATCTATTACTCGCTGTACTAATGGATTCTGTTGCAATTCAGGTAAAGACATGAACTCTTCCACGCTCAAAGAACCAGAGTTGTCCAAATCAAGCTTCTTAAATCTCTTTCCTAGCCGTTTGATTTCATCAGCATCAACTGAAAGGGAAAAAAAAACCCAACACCTATTCTCAGAAAGGCTTCGGTAAACCCTTTGCCAGTTAAACACAATGCACATTTCATTGCCTTCCTACCAGAATTTCTCCTAGTTTACTACAACTATTAAAACACTCCTGGAAGATTATAAAGATAAAATCAAACTGAAGACAAACACAAGCCTTTCCATTTTTTGTTCTAAATAAGCCTTACCTTTTTTCCTCCCTGCATCAGCCATAATACAGTTAGCCTCGTGACTCCCTGGATACCCCATGCTGACACAACATGTTTAAGGATTGAGGGTGCTTAGCTAGTTCTTAGTCAGACAGCTCTTACAAATACCAGGTATGAAGAAATTAAGGATGAGAGGGAGTTTTCTTTGAAGGCTGTAGCACTACAGCTAACCGAGGCTAACACGTCAGAAAATCTATTAGTAAGCATATTAGCAAAACTACTGATTCTTCAGCACACCAAACATGGGATCTCTTGGGCTGCAAGCCAAGTGAAGTTGGTTAACACAGTCCCACTGTTGACCAGTTATCACTCAAAACATCACCCAGACAAGACCCAAGATAAGTTTTTTAATCCATCTCAAGCACGAAGCAGGCATACCTGTAGCCACAACCTGCACACATCAATTTTTGCTGTTCCAGAACTTCCAAGCCATTTCAGATCCTGCAGCAGCACCACTTATTTATCCTCTGCAATTTATAAAGGATCTCAACCTTACATTTCAGACTTTGCCAGGAACAGACTAAGTTTGTGAATACATTAAAATGATTAAAAAGAATCTTGTACTCTGTTACTACTGAAAAGCTGAAAAAGCTTTCCCCACAACAACCAGAAAGTTCCCTATCAGCAGCTTCAGTTACAACGCCAAAGTTAGTTCATTAACTGCTTACCATGTTCGGGTATGAAGGAGGAACCAAGAGTCCTACGAAGTCCTAGAAAGCACCCAGCACACAGTAAACAACACACCGTATAGAACCTGCAGCTTTCCAACTCCCTACACCAATGCCTTTGGCAACATGAATAGTCTCCTCAACATTTCTGAGATATATTTAGTGCATTTGCTCCAATAGTAACAGAAATTGCTTCTCAACTTCTACAAGGCACATACAGACCACCAGCTCCACTTTCCATCATATTAACACCTCCTTGTCTTTTGTAAAAGTGCAGCATAAAACCAAACAGCACTTACTCTTTCCAATACATAAGGTCAAGCCAACATGCAGAGCTTTACGTTTGGAAATTGTAGCCTATTCAAAGACATGATCCTTTACCAAAGCAGTAGTGAACTTCCACTTAAACTTCTCGGTATCTTTCTTGAAAAACCAACTAGACACAAACCCAGAGATGTTCACAACTGTGCTATTTCACAATGAAAGGCAGAGAACACGCAAGAAATCCAGAAGCACAAGATGATCTTCTGTTAGGCTTTTTTTTTTGCCTAAATAGTAAATTCTGACATGCTGCTGTTAGTCAGTCTTGGTAACTCTTTGCCAACTGCTGAGGCAGAGAGCAAAAAAGGTTCAGTACTCCCAGAACAATCTTCCCCTTTGCTGTACCAGCAAGTGACAGATCTGATTGTGCCTCTAGGGCTATAAAAATAAGGCTAAACAGCATCTGCAGAGGCTTACAAGTTTTTTCCTCGGTTTCTAGTCTGCAATTTGGTATTTCAATTAATTAGGCTCTCAACTACAGTAAAGCTACATTCTTTTGTGTCCACCAGCTTACGTGGTAGCCTAGTACATGACTGAAGGTGTGCCCTTAACAGCACGACACTGCACTGCAGGATCAGGAGCACATTACTGTTGGCATAACTACACAGAACCAGCTTCCCTCCCAGATCATGCAAAAGGTGCCATACCACTACAGGGTAAGCTGTGTATAGAACATAATGATGAGACTAAAAGGCAACAGTATAAAGAGAATGGCAAAGCAAAGCTGACAATTAGCCTCTACAGTTGCTTATGAGTTCATCAGCACAAAATGCTGCTTCTTACCAATATACTGAAGGTATCTGCCAACTCTTGATTCTGCCCACAGTAACTCTTGGGTTTCCATTTTCCTCACAATCTTGAAACAGTAAATGGAGTCAGACTTTGAAATGGTTGGCTCAGTCTGCCTTCACTCCCTGCCCTGCTGCCAGAAAGCTGTTGGACCCACTGGAGTTTAATACAAAGCTGGCACCCTGGCAAGCTGTGAACATGGGAACCTCATTTCTACTGCAAGCTCTACTCCAGAGTTGCAACTCCCACAGGAGTTAATGTCCCTCCCCCCAAAAAATCCTCACAACATTTGAAAAAGCACAAAAACATTAAGCATGGCTTGTCACACAACATATGTAAATGCATTTTCCAATGTAAAATGCATGTTTGAATAGACATAATTTATACCTATATTACAATAACGCATATAAGGACTTGTCCAGCCAGCACATCAGTCTCCCTCGACTTTTATTAGTCATGGTTAACATGTTATCCTGGTCCAACCAAAACTCTCCTGCTTCACTATCTGGACTCAGAAATCAAGACTGACTACATCTTTCACGTAACTCACCGTTATTTCGTAAACACAAATCCCTCAAATGATCTATTTTGAAATCAGAAGTTTGCAATTGCATCTAGATCTCATGCCAAGAAACCCTGAAATAAGACCTGTGACAGCCATGAGAACTATCTCCTAGTGGGAAAAACAAGAGCAACAAAAGGTACACGAATTATTTCTTTAAAAAACAAATTCACTTTAATAAAACTAAACAGCAAATGGAAAGTATTACCTGTAGTGTATATAACGTGCTGTCATCCTCCTACCAGATCAGTGAACTCCCACTTCCAATATTAAGATTAGCACTGACTAAAACGGAACAATTTAAGCCACCTAAGCAACCTCAAATACATTATAGTTCTACCATTTCACAGAATCAGAACGGAGAAAAATGAAAGCAGCATTAACACAGATGCATCTCTTCTACCTTACCGCACAAACTATAAAGAGTTAAGGAACTGCAAGCTCTGAAACATTTCTAACTTACACTTAAGAAAACCCTAACACGAGAACACAAGAATGCCATTTTTACAAATCGGGATGTAAAACACCAGGACTAAAGACCAGCCGGCATTACCAGCATAATTTTCTCAGAAGCAGCATTAACCAAAGTCTTGTTTCATAACTCCAGTTCATCTCCTGGTTTGGGAGCTAAAGGTTAGAGTTGGAAAGGACCTTAAGGTCATCTAGTTCCAACCCATCTACTTTTCCTCACAAATATATAAGCAAAGACTGAAAGTGAGACCTAGAGTTCTGTCAGTGTTCTGCTATTAACTGAAGCTAATTACCACACATGCAAGTCAGTCAAACACTGGTCCACAGCTTTAAATTACTCCAGCTGGCACAGAAGACAGACAAGATCAACTATGCCATCACATTTGCCTGCTGAAGCAGAGAGCTAAAATCTTCCATGCAAGATGTGCTACAAAAACTTTTGCCAGAAAGGTACTTTGTATCTCGAGCTGACCTATCCCTAGCAGGGACCTACCAATATGAGTTAAGTAAGGAATAAAATTTAACAAAATAAAATAAAGTTTACTGGTGCATTTGAAACTGATCCACCACAGTGTTAAAATGAATGCTACAATGAAGACACACACTCTGCCATCATCTGGCTGGGCACAAGAACCACAGTTCAAACAGTCTGGCATTCACAATTAGCCAGATAGTAAAATGTGCAAACCAGCAATGCTTAAGAGAAGCTAAAACGCTGATTTGTTTCTGCTAAAGATGGTACTCAAAGAGGCCAAGATTACAGATAATAAAAACAAGAATCAGAGGATGGCAAGGAGAAGAGGTCACGTAAGACTATTTCTCAAGAATGTTCTTTTATGTTTTGCTGAAGGGCAACAAAGCAATGACTGCCTGAATTATGAAATTAAGAGTCTTCATACTTTGAAAATGTTCATTTCTCTTTCTCCACATATACCCACATACAAGGATACCTCATACAGTCAATCCATTCAACTACAATACAGTCCAGGTACAGAACTGTAGCAGCATTTCCTACTAGAAATGGGATTATAAATTTCTCATTTTAAACCCTGAAACATTTAAGCAAAGCATCTGCCTACACTAGTGATCTGAGAGAAGTTCTACTCTTGGGGGGAAAAAGCAAGTCAAGAACAGTAAAGAAAAACTTAGTATCTCTGCCAAAAGCTGACCAAATATCAAATTTAGTCCAGTGTTTTGTTTCTGGCAGTGGACACGCTTTGGAGGAGAGTACTTGGAGGAGGAAATAAGGAAAAAGCAAAGTAATTACAGGAACAGGAAAATTTCCTTTAACAGTTCATGGGCATAAAACCCTCCGTTCATAACTAACATATGGATGAAAACAACATCTGCAGATCAGTGTTTCATAACTGACTCTATGAGAATTTCCTATCAGAACAATTTCATTATTTTTTCCTTAAATACACTGTGAGCATCTCACCTACCTTTAAAATCCTTTCTACAAGCAGAAATGTAACAAGCTTAGAAAAGATAAATCAGTATTTCAGTAACAACTTCGTCATTGTGAAATAGCTTTAAAAACAAAGTAAGAACATAAAATAAGGGCTGAAAGCATTTGAGTATAAGCTTTCAATTTGCATTGGTTTTGTCTATTCTTTCCTCGAGTCACAGCCATAATTTCTACTGACTCTCTTCCTGGAATAAGCTTACCCGAAAACCATGTAGGTTTTCTGGGGTTTGGGGCTTGTTCCATTTGCTTTGTTTGGGTTTTGGTTTTATTTGTTGGTTTTGGGTTTTTTTTTAATAAAAAAAACCCAACATTTATGTATAACAGCAGATTTCAATAATACCCTATTTATTTTTTGTTCAGTCTCCTCCCTGAATATGCATATACAACAGCCCTCATCTATGATGGTGTGCCCCTCTCACAAGAGCACTTTTAACTCAGTGTTTAGCAGCAGTCTTTCTTAACATGTCACTGAAAAGCAGAGTACTGAACAACATTTTCAGAGCCTGAACAAAATACACTTCTTTTCCTTCTCTGAAGGCTCCTTACAGACAACCTCATGTCCACACAAACACCCTGAAGCTATATGGGAAACACCAGGCACAAGACAGTTCAGATACAGTAAAGGTTTCCGAGCTGGAAGGACTGATGGTGGCAGCAACAAGCAGAATTTTACAAGACAAGCTCAGGAGACCAGGACAGAGATGAAAACGCTAGGAAATCCAAGGAAGTTCTACTCTAGGAGGTTCCAAGCCCACAATAGTGTAAAAAGGGCAGTAACATCCCTTGAGCAAAATAAGGAGGCTCAAGCTTTGTTTACATCATTTGAAGCAGAGTTTGCCTCTGACTCACGACAGGGGACTGAGCTTCCTTCAGCTCTGGCTGCAGTGGGCGTTCCTCTAGCCTCGAACTCAAGTTAGCCTTTCCTGTGCTTTGCCCACCAGCTGACACCAGGCTCTGTGCTACCTTATGCTTTTCACCAGAATCAGGTGTCCAATGGTAGCTTACAAATTTACCTGGCTGGAAATGACACCTGCAAACTGTTTTTCTTTACAAGGCTTTGCTGGCAGCCCTGTAGAAACATCAAATTATTCACTATTTTAAAGCACACTTTATTTCATAATCCATTGTGAATTTCACTCACCTTGTAACTAACACAGTAAGATGGAGGGTTTTAAGCATTTCCAGTATTATGGATCTTTTGTTAAAGAACTATCCATATTTTTAAAAGACTCCTCTTCCATCCAAGTATTAAAATTCTACAGCAAACAATACCTGCTTTGTCATTCATTTGCATATATCAGGTTTAAATGCAAGGACTCCATGCTTCCAAGAAATTACACGCAAATGCTCTGTCTAGCTCCCGTTTTAGTACACAAAATTTCCTTCCAGTTGGATACTAATATATTGACACCTACAAGTGAATCCTCTGCTCCTTCCCCCAACACAACAGCAGAGGATGATCCATTATAGAATCACAGAATAGTTGCAGTGGGAAAGGACCACAAGTCATCTAATTCCAACTCCCCTGCCATGCTATGTTTTAAAATAACTGTTTGTTTCAAGCTGTTATTTACACAACTGATGCTCAGTACTGTAAAAAGCATTCAAGTGGCAACTCAAAAAGCTTCATTAAAAACAAATTTCTGGAGTGCAGCAAGTGCTCTGCACTGAAAAAAAAAGTGATGTCAAAAAATGTAATCATATTTTCCAGACAATGTTAAGTTACATGGTTATCTTTCCATTAATATGATAACCCAAAGCAAAGAAGATCTGAAAAATACAAATCTCTCTGAAATCCACTGCAGTGATATTTAACAGGAAAATTGCTTATATATTCAGAAGCACTGTACATCCGTTGCTGCAGAATGCACAACACTTTAACAGGTATCTGTGAAGCATACAAACCTTCAAAGAGCTGGATATTTCTCGGCAGAGGTGCTGAGCACTCCTGAAATCTAAGTAGTTACCTAAGCTTTTAAACCTGTATTTAAGAGGCTGGTTTTCAGGTAGTCTTAAAATACTGGCTTATTGGCTGAAAGTTATAAATAACGAAAACCAGACCAAAGTGCAGTCACAGATAGTTGAGTTTCCACATATTTTTCAAAGATGAGGTCATTATAAACAAGATTATTGCTAAGGTATTAGAAGATTTCTGTAAATAAAACATGCTCTGAAATTGGTTTTAAATGTTCCCAGGTTAAAAAATGAGTATTTCCCTCCCCTCCATAAAAATGGATTGCAGAGATCTCAAAATAAAAGAGACCTTCAGCAAAAGCCCTCACCTCTGTCTAGAGTCTGGTCTGATTCAGTAATATAATGTTTCAGAGCTCAGCCAAGACAGCCATTTCAGTCTTGGAGATCAGATTTCAAAAAGATGACGCCCTTGAGAACACACTCGACCACTTGTCTTGTATATGCTTACATGCAGCTGGCCTGATCCTTTTCATGACTTCAGATGTGTCAATTACAATTTCCTAAGTTAAAGAAGAGATACTAGCCTCCTTATCCTAAAACCAGAACATACTATAAAACTCTTTATACTACAAATACTATAGTATAAACTGTTTTCTATTACAAGATACTGTACTGTAAAATATTGTTTACTACGAAACAGTTTTCTTCCCAATTCTCTGCTATGATAAAATTGTCTCATGGTTAATTTTATATTGCTTGGTTGACGCCAAATTACCACCAGGTAAAAAAGTATTAGATTTTCAGTGATTTCTTAGACGCAGCACAGCCGAGAAGCAAGTCCATACTCTTTAAGGACTCCAACAATCCCAATTCACCCACTGAAGAGAACAAATGTTCTAAAATGAAGGGCAAAAATAATATTCTCAACTATTTAATAGTGTGCATCCTCTGCATAGTATCCTGAATTTGCTTCCTGGAACTGCCAAATTTAAAACAAAATTATTCTTATAAAACAAGATACCAAAAAAGCGACTGCACCACCAAGCAGAGGTTGTGACCTGATGCCACCGTGCTGACAGCATAAAGACATTATTACTGGCAGCTTCCCAAAAGGCTAACCATTCAGACTCTATCAAATGGTCTTAAACATTGATTGGTCTTGCCCTGGAAAGCATTTTTCTTGTCAATAACAAGTACTTGGAAACAGCACAAACATTTGATACTTGAAGAACAAGGTGAATACATACTGAGTGGACTTAGGGACATGCTACTGTACACATTTGTGTCCCAAAACAAACAAGCTCTTTCAAGCTTTTCAGGCATGCAAAATCTTTTAAGCACAGTGTGATCATAGAATAGTTAGGGTTGGAAAAGACCTTACGATAATCTAGTACCAACCCCCCTACCACGGGCAGGGACACCTCACGCTAAACCATGTCACCCAAAGCTCTGTCCAACCTGGCCTTGAACACCACCAGGGATGGAGCATTCACAGCTTCCCTGGGCAACCCATTCCAGTGCCTTGCCACCCTCACAGTAAAGAACTTTTTCCTTATATCCAATCTAAACTTCCCCTGTTTAAGTTTTAACCCCTTACCCCTTGTCCTATCACTACAGTCCCTAATGAAGAATCCCTCTCCAGCATCCCTACAGGCCCCCTTCAGATACTGGAAGGATGCTATGAGGTCTCCACGCAGCCTTCTCTTCTCCAGGCTGAACAGCCCCAACTTCCTCAGTCTGTCTTCATACAGGAGGTGCTCCAGTCCCCTGATCATCCTTGTGGCCCTTCTCTGGACTTGTTCCAATGGTTCCATGTCCTTTTTATGTTGAGGACACCAGAACTGCACACAATACTCCAGGTGAGGTCTCATGAGAGCAGAGGAGCAAGAGCACCTCCTTCGACCTATCACTGCAGTGATAAGGCACAATCAAGCAAAGGAAATGCCTGTGGTAACTACACCTTCCCTAGTGTATGCAGTTGGGTTGCTCAAAGCAGCAGCTCACTTTCTGTGAGAAGGGTCACTGAAGCAGAAAAAGCTTGGAAGTGTGAAATCTCAGATTTACACAACGATATCCTCTACATAGTTTAACAACAGAAAGTGATGATGAAATCTCCTCTTTCTTTGCAATAAGAGGGGTCAAATAAGCTCAGTTAATAAAACTTTAGGTTGGCAGTTGGTACCAATGACCATAGCTTTTCCTACAATCAGAAGTTAAGGATGGCAACACACTGCTTACAACTCTGGCAGAGATGTATCTAGTTAAAAAATAAAATCTTCAGAAGCCAGTTTGTCCGTAAAGAAAAACTGGCCAATGGTGCAGTCTCCCAGCTGTGATACACACAGTTCTGGAAAAGACTACCAAAATCTTCATCAAATACACAACTTCCACCCACATGTCCATATTTATCAAAACATACACTGAGAGCATAACACAGCAATGCAGTGCTGTGGACAAGATTCTCAAGTGTTTTCAAACTGATGACTCAAAATTATAATTCATGTGGACATGTGTATTGGCAGAGAGGACTTGCAAATTACTGAAGCCTCATTTCCCTGAAAAGCGTATTTAGAAAAAAGATTCCTCCGTGATCATTTATTTTCTATTACCATTTGACTTTTGTGAGCTGGAGTTCAGTTATGATTAATGTTGTGAAAGTTATTTAGAAAACATTCCTTATCTTGAAGAATTTATTATCTTGTTTATAAACAAGATCTGATTCACCAAAGACGAGGAAATCTTATCAGGCAGCCCATACACACATACACAGGTCTACACATGATTTAGTGCTGAAGAAAAATATTCAAGTTAAAAAAGCAGTTAAAAATAAGCATAACACCACAGGGACATTTCACAAGACAGCCCTTTCTTTGGGCAGCTTTAAGCAAGCAATACTTTGTTATTTTTACAGGGCAGAATAACCCCACGAGACAGAGCAATGAAGTTTAGACTCACATGGCCAAAAGCAAGTAACACCAAGGGGCTTCTCACCTGAATGCCTGGCTGCAAGCACACACAGGGAAAGAAATGCTCGTTTAGCCTCCATCTCTTTCCTCTGAGGGTGCAAAGACAGCTCAGGCAATACAGTTCACTCCTAACACAGCACACACCACACCACCAACATCTCTGTGGAACTGGGGCTGCTGGAGAAGCCCCACCAGTTCTGCTACTGGTTGTAACACTTCATTGTTTGTTTTTTTTTAAGATGGACTGTTTTTTGATTTACAAACCAACAGCACAAGCTGTATTATTTCTAGGGATAATATTTCACCTTTTAATTTTACTCTTTTGGTTAGTATATAAAGTGAGTAACACTTCAAGCAGGAAACTGATACATGAAAGCTGTGTATGTCTATCTCCAAATAAGATTAACCTAAGAATATGAAGTAGCAATTACACTTACAGTGCGAGCACATTTCCAAGGGGTAGCTTGCCTCATTTCCCTGAAACACAAAAAAAGAACAAAGTTGCTGTTATTCCTGAATTGGCTTAGAGGAACTATTTTAAGTTTCAGTACTGTAAAGATCTCAAGCAATACAAGTTACACGGTTATTTAAATGTGTATGTGTATTTTAAATCCAACAACCATGGTCAGTGTTTTATTTGGATAGGTCTATGTTACCAAAACATACAAAGAAATGTAAAAGCATTGTGAGGTCTCCTCTGATGAGAGTTCCCATGAAAATATCAGCAGTCCACACAGTAAGAACTCCAATCCCATATTCTACGCTCCAAAACCCAAACTCACAGCTTGTATGTTGTGCAAGCGCTACTTTTCATGTCAGAATAATATTTAATTTCAAAACTTCGCATAATGTGCTTTACCATTTTATTGGATTCACAGAGTCACATCCTTATGAATCATGATGACAAATGTTACTCAGTAAGGATAAGAAAACTAGCATGTTTTCTCCTCTCAGCCACCTGCCCATTCCCCCCGTAAAAGATTCACAAAGGAAGAATGATGCAAAAAAGCGGTTTACATGAGCAGAAATTCAGACATACCAGCTTTACGCTTATTTTTGCAATAGACTATGTTAGTATGTTCCTGTTTTGTAGCTGAATGGGAAGTTAAACTAAGAGTTTAAATCCTTGCTGCACTACAACACAGTCATAGGAAGAAAAGTTCAAACTTTGAGGGTACAGTCACTTTGAATTCACGCATCCTGAAATCTGCAACTACTGCAACACAAACGCCAAAAGACACTAAAATTAAAAGGTGGTATTTTTCCCAAAGGCCTCACTTTGAACCAGAGAAGAACACAGTACACACATGCTTAATGTTTTTTCATAATCAGTCAGCAAAGAAGTGAACAGGTAACTGAAGAGATTCATAACCAAACATCTTCAAAAGATTATTTTTAAGGGAGTGTTTTATACAAGAAAGCAAAACATATTTAAGATGAGTCTAAGACACATTCTATCCAGCAGTGATTCTCTTGCAATGTGGAGCGCAAGGGATTCCATAGGTGAGCATTTGCACAGGAGGACCTCTCAAAAATGATACAAAATTGAACAAAAATACAGAGATTACTTGATAGAAGGGGGAATTAAAAAAAAAAAAAAAGGAGGAACTACATTTAGCCTGGAAGCATGCGTCTGCATTTCCTAATAAGGACAGGAAGGAGCAGAACATCTCATGAATCCAAACATGTCCAAGAGATGTGTTGATGGGGGGGACTGTTTGCTTTTTTTACCTCCAGAACACATTCACTTCACTTATCCCCCACAATCCACAAGCACTCTTGCTTCTTTAAAAAGTTAATACCATGTGCTTTGTAAGAGGAGCAGGAGAAGATACAGCCTTCACTTCTCCAGTGTCTGCTTACAGCAAGACAAAGTAGCAGAATAAGAATGCAGAGGAGGACCATCAGGTTCCTGAAATCTCCAACTGAGATATTTACAAGAGAAACTTATTCCACTGTGGCATCGAATCCAACACAACAGTGCCATGTGGAAAATATTGGATGGAACCCAAAGTCTTAGAAAAACCAGTGAAGACCAAAACAGGTAGTAAAAGCCTAGTGTATATATATGGATATAAAAGGGTAGGGGGTATAAAATGGGTGAAAGCAGAATTTTGAAACAAGAAGAAACAGGAACCAGGGGATCCAGCTAGGCTGCTCAAGACACGAGGTCATGAAGAGGCAAGAAAAACACCAGACTGGAAAGCTGCAAATTAAAGGAGAAAGTTGAATTAAAACCAGTGCACTTATGCACATGCACACACAAATATACAATCATAACTACATTAGAAGACTGTTCAGGGCACTTGCATCCTTGTTCAAGTGTTGGCAGACAGTTAATTTCTAGTAAAAGCTGCTAGAAGCAATCTGCCTAGAAGCATAAAATGCTTCTGAAAACTGAGCACAAAAAATTAAAACACAGAAATAACTTTTTTTCTGTTCACAAACTAAGTGTAATGTTCATAAGGAGTCTTACTATGCATCTAGATGCCATAATCAAATTATCTAAAGGACGTATCAAAAATACATGGAGAACAAAGAAAAAGTGAATAAACCTCAGCTTAATTTTTCTGCGTAAATTACTGCTAAAAAGTGTTAAGAATACTTACCTATCCAGGACTGGAACTTGGATATCTACAAAAACACAGAAAAATCTAGTAAGTAAAAATATAAAACCCACACAATTATTCAGTATTTGTTACACAGTATTCAAATAAGGCGTTTTAAAAAGTAGTTACCTGCTATGATCTGCCAAGTGTCCATCTTCACAGGAGAATCCAAAAGTCTAAGTTTTAAAGATTTTCATCTGTTTTTTTCTTCCTTTTGTATAAATAAATGTCGAAGCTACTCATGCCAAGATTCCTGTTTGCACAGCTGTGACCTGGACAAACACAAAGGTGTTCCTCTATGCCAAAGACCTGATCCTCAAAGATGAAGATTAATGATTTGGGTCTGGGGGGAAGGCATTTTCCATCACCTTCTGAACAGCAATACAAAAATGTCACTTGTTTGTTCCCAAGTACAATCAGTACATGTACACGCTCTAGGAAATACAAATACAATATAAGCCCTGAAACACAAGTGCTAAATAGGTCAAGTATTTTCTTGCTGTTTAAGAACAGGTAAGTAGTAGTTCAGCAAAGTAACACTTCACAGATGTATTTATTTATAGTTTTCAAACTATATTAATTTATACAGACAAAAGTCCCTGTAAAATCTCCTAACAGCACATCATTTCACCTCCGATGCAGAGAAGTCAATTTATACAAATGACTGTAAAGTAACAAGGTTCTAATACAATATTGCCAACTTTAAAAAATGATTATAACGTTAGTATTTCCTGCCAGATGTATACTTAGAACACCTCACCATGAAGAGTATCTTTACGTATACAGTATATTAGCACATTTAGAAATGACTGACACATGGTTTGTTGAAGAAACATAGCTTTTACTGCATCAACACTCAACAGCAGATTTACTTGGCACCTAAGCCTAGTATAAACCATGTTTTCCTCAACTGCATCTAGACAGCAGTACTATCACACTGCTGGAGTGGCAATAGCTTCTCTTGAGTTACACAATTAGAACAAGTGGCTGGAATACTACAAATACTTTGAATAGCCTTATTATTTTAGAAGCCTTGACATTTTCCTGAATGCTGCTAGATCCCTTCAAGTTATTCCTGGTTAAACAGCAGCAAAATCATCATGTATACACAGAAGCAATTACAGATGAAGGAACAGTCCAGAGTCTACCAACAGAATGCTGACCAAACACTGAATACTGCAGAAGTACCATTTTACTAGAGAGAAGTTAAAATATGTCACTAAAGTATTTCAGTTTATAGAACATGTAGTTTATTCCTTTAAGAAAAAATGTTCTTTTCAATTTTATTCTCCAATTATTGTTCTATGATTCTATGATTATCTTCTTTTTCTCCTTTTCAGCAGCTGTGCCTTTTTACTGATAAGACTGGATAAGCCAGTAAGAATAAACTCTTACTGGACTTAAGTCTGTATTTCTTCTGTAAATTACCCATAAAAATGGGTAATGTTTCTTGATTTATCTTTCTTTGGTAGTTACTTCAAATACTAATCTCTTAAAATCAGTTTTCTACATGCTCCTCCAAGGTAGGATAGTTAAGTGCAATTATCTTGACAAGTTTCCTCTTAGTGAAAGACATGAAGAGCTGTGGATAGAAAATAAAAAAGGAAATCCGCAATTAGCAAAATTAGGAACAGAATCTAAATTCTTAGTTGAAAGTGTTTTACAAAACAGCTTGTACACAGTAAGACATCAGACTGCAAAACAGTTCTTCAGCACACATTAGAAGAATACACCTCCTGAATCAGTTTGTCTGCATGCTACCTTTCAGCATGATCTACAGCTTTTTGTAAATAGCTGACACTTAAATTAGTATCAGCCTTCAGTTCGTTTTCTGCTTCTATAAAAGCAGAAACTGTGTTTAAAGGCCAGCAAGCCACAATGTCAGCTTAGGATTCATCTCTAACACAGTCCTCAAAAGGTGGTGTGCGAGTGACTATAAATACAAATGAACTCTTGGAACAGTTTAAAGTTACACTGTTTCAAAGCTTTTGTTTTTATAGCAAGACAATGAATTAACGGGACAAGTGTCAAGAATGGTCTCTTAAGATCTGTTTAGTACATGTACAAGAGTAGTTGTCAGAGATTTACTATTTCTGAAGCAACATACAAAAAAGCATAATAAGCTCATCCTTGCTGTAAATGGTCTCAAACATGCAAACTGCCCTGACAGTGCTGTTGGCTGTTACACCCATGGCTGTTAGACCTATGCACCAAAGCTTCACATAGAAACAAAATGGCTTTAAGATAATAGAGGGCAGATTTAGATTAAATGTTAGAAAGGAAGTCTTCACTATGAGGGTGGTGAGACACTGGCACAGGTTGCCCAGAGAAGCTGTGGCTGCCCAATCCCTGTCAATGTTCAAGGCCAGGTTGGACAGGGCTTGGAGCACCCTGGTCTAGTGGAAGGTATCCCTGCTTATGACAGAGGGATTAGAACTGGATGAGCTTTAAGGTCCCTTCCAACCCGAATCATTCTATCATTCTACGATTACTAATGTTTCTGCATTCGTGTTTTTGTGCATGCACACCTCACCGGGTGTTACCAAGACATTACATGTTGTGCTTCCTATATTTGCTCCTGAACCTTCCACACTATTATCTTTGTTATCACAAGAAAGAAATTACAGTGTGCAAGTGAAACAGTTAACCAAACCATGTCAGCTGTGGGGGAAGAACTAGGGATCATCAAGATAATCAACTTCAGTTCTCAAGTTAGACAAAATGGTGTTTTGCATCATCCACTACTACAACTGGACAGGAATGGGAGTAGTAACAAAAAAAGATGGCAGAAGGTAGGCAAACCTACTCAAAAGACCTTTCTTCCTCTTCCACAGACAAAAATGCTTCTCTATCTTTTTGCATTCTTAT